AGTAGTCTCACTAAAGCTTCCCTATCTTCACCTTCGAGATCAGTGTCAATTGAATCGGAAGTTATTTTGTTCGGTTGCAACTCACAAGAATTTGACTGTTTCTTAGAAAAGAATTTAAGCTGATCTTGATCAGTTTGGACGCCAATGTCATTTTCATATCCTACACTAAAAATGGTAAAATAAACCCTTTTTAAAAAAAAAGTTGAACCGACTTCAAAAAACACCGACAAAGAGCACTAAAAATTAAAAAATAATTACAAATCTAAGTAAAAAACTATAATAAGTACCCTCAATGTAACAGGTAACATTATAATACCAATAGTCCCTTCTAGTCTGTTTGAAGTCGGTGCCAAGCTCGATGTACAATAAGTAATACTGGTCTATGTCAGCTTTATATTAGCACAATGAAAAATTAAGAATTCAAAATAATTCTAATGAAACATCGAAGATTTTGTTAATTAATAAAGACCAACCAGATCAATTACGTGCGCAAACTTATCAACTACTTATTAAAGAATTCAAAATAATAATATAATTGGAGATGTGCGTCCACTTTAGCTCGTTCATCATGTTTTGCGCAGCATGAAGACTGTTGCAGCTGCCGCGCTACATTCTACCATGCCTATCAAGCACCTATTTGGCTTGGCACCGACTTCAAACTGACTAGAAGGGACTATTGGTATTATAATGTTACCTGTTACATTGAGGGTACTTATTATAGTTTTTTACTTAGATTTGTAATTATTTTTTAATTTTTAGTGCTCTTTGTCGGTGTTTTTTGAAGTCGGTTCAACTTTTTTTTTAAAAAGGGTTTTTAGAAAGAAGTCTTGACTGACAGACAGAGTCGGTAAATAATGCGATGTTACAAAGCCTCCTTTAATTTTTGGGGAAACGAAACTTTAACTTTAATAAAAAAATGGGAGCTCTTTTCTTAGTAAGAATTAAATGAATTAGGTAAAATCACAACCTGTGGGCAACTACTGGCAACATTAAATCGGCCATTCCAAAATTTATTAATAATCTTCTAATTTTAAATTCGCTTAAATGTAATTTTCAACCTAAAGAAGAGTCGGTATGAAATGTCTGTCCTTTATTGTTCCCTGGCGACGTGATGACCTACTGAAAGGTAGTTAAACGCAAACATTAAGACAAACATTATTTTGCTTACATTACTCGTATTATATGGTGAGTCTCCTGAGTTAATAAAACATGCGCGTATATGAATTACCACAACTTAGTTTAGTTTGCCGCCATCGTTCCACACGGCAAAATTTTCATCCCCATCGCCTGAATAGTTGGCGCTCCACCACTTTGCGCTTTCCGAGAAACTTTTAGCCTTTTTTTTTACGTGTGGAAACCCTCTCGGGCCGTCACCCCACTAAAACTTAATTATTCTCATAATTATTCCCATAATCGACTATGGTGATGTGTGTTATTTCGACCTGAATGCAGACCTTCTCAATAAACTAGATCGCCTTCTCAATAACTGCATTCGATTCGTTTTCAATCTTCGCAAGTATGACCACGTGTCTGCTTTACGTTCCCAGCTGCAATGGCTCCCAATTCGTCAGCGCCGCAGTTTACGAGCACTGACTTCTCTCTTTTCTTTCCTCAACTCTCCATCGTTACCTGAATACCTCGTACCCCACTTCCGTTTCCTATGCTCCAATCACGATCGAAATCTTCGATCAACCAACAATATGCTTCTTCTATGCCCCCCTCACACCTCTAACTTCATCAACTCCTCCTTCTACGTCCAGTCAGTCCTCCTCTGGAATGCCCTCCCTGCCGAAATCAGGATGTCAACAAATCGCCTCGCATTCAAGAGAAAAGTGTGCGATCTTCTTCGGGGTGAATTGGCGAAATAGTTACAGCTCTAGTTCCCGACTGAGTATTTATATATTTTATTAAATTTATGTAGGTTTATGTATGCATGTGTGTTTTTATATTGTGTATGTTTCTGGACCTAAATTATGTTAATTTCATATTTTATTTTGCACCTACCGCATCATATTTCTACATCACCTGAAGGTTGACTGGGAGAGAATGCCTAATGGCATTAAGTCCGCCTTTTTACAATATGTGCATTAAGTTTAAAATAAATAAATAAAACCAACCAGACCGACTAAAACCATACGGTGTGCCACTATGCGCGTGTGATAGGAGGGATCTGCTGTTATTAAGACATCCGGACCCCTCCTAGTGCCGGTCCCGCAATGGCGCGGGCACCACCTCCGGGTACATTCTCTCGAGAAACTTTTTGCCTCGCACAACCAATCTGTGGAACGGGTTATCTTTTGCGGTATTTCCGGACCGATACGATCTTCAAACCTTCAAGAAAACTCCAAGAGCGTACTCCTTCCTAAAAGGCCGGCAACGCGTTTGAGACTCCTGAGTGCGATGGTCACTTTTCATCATTTAACTCGTCTGCTCGTCTGACCCCTTAAAAAAAGGTTCAAAAATTTCGAAACAATCGGTAAAGAACGTTAAGATTATAAAAAATACGAATGTTTTTCATGATATTGGGTTAAACGAGCAGACAGGTTACCTGACGGTAACTACCGTCGGCCATAACGCCTGCAACAAGAGTCACCGATTGCAACCGGTTTTCTGTGAGCCACGGGCGTCATTCCGGTCGAGTCGTCCCATATTTGACATTAAATTTTATATGTGTTACCAGCTTTTGGGCACGGCTTCGCTCGCGTAAATATCAATTTTGTTAATAAATTTGGGTGGGACAAATAGTAACCTCTATGCTATAATAAAATCTATCTATGTGTCAAATATCGTCCAGATTTAGAAAACAGTTTTGGTGTGACTGAGTGACAAACATATTACGTTTAAAAAAATATGTTAAATTATTATTATTTTTGATAGAGAATATAATAGTACTGCGAGTTTGGAATCGATAAGTTAAAAAAAAATAGTTGCTCACACAAACATGCACCCCTTTTTAACAAAACAAGGGTAATTTTGCACCAAGGGGAGCAAAACTACCCTTGTTTTGAAAAAAAAGTAACAACGTTTTTATTACTTTTAATAAAGACTATTAACTGTAAGTTTGAAAACGCTACTACCAAAAATAACAGTTTCATATAAATTTTCAACACCCATTTTGCTCCCTTAGGTTGGGGGAATATTTTGAAAATCCTTTTTTAGTGCACACCTAGGTTACCTAAGGAACATTTTTTCCAAATTTCATGCTTCTAGACCCAGCGGTTGCAGCTGTGCATTGATCTATCAGTCAGTGAAACAGTCTGTCAGTTTCTTCTTTTAAAGACATACTAGCTGAGACCCGCGGTGTTACCCGCGTTTGTTGTTATAACCGCGGGCAACGCCGCGGGGCGAAGCTAGTCTAAAAAAAGTAGCCTAAGTTACTCCTTATGTCATCAGCTATCTGCCAGTGAAAGTCCCGTCGAAATCGGTCCAGCCGTTCCAGAGATTACCCGGAACAAACTGACAGACAGACAGACAAAAATTGAAAAAAATGTTATTTTGGCATATGTACCGTGTAAACATACATAACATACTTTTTACTAAATGCATATGCATTTAGTAAAAAGTGGTTATTTTAATATTACAAACAGACACTCCAATTTTATTTATTTGTATAGATATGTACTGATTGAACAGTGGTAGTACCTAGTACATTGCCTCGCGTATAACATCGAAAAGGAACGGAGCAACAAGTAATGTTTTGATCACTTTGTGTCAAAGCTTTTAGAAAATATATGAAGCGAATATAGTTTGATTGTTTATTGAAGGCGTTGTTTGTTCACTACGCACGAATATTTGCTGCGTCGAGTTGAGACATTCGCCATGATGTACCTTTTTTATTTATTTTTTGTTGACGGAGTGGAAAATCCCTTCGGATCGCCGGCTCCTTGGGGATATAGGAGCCAAGAGCAGTGCCGGATTAGCCACGTAGCAAGAGTAGCAAATGCTACGGGCCCCGCGACTCGGGGGGCCCCGCGGTCTAATACCTGTCTGACCGTAAAAAAATATCAATTTATAATACACGTACCGTAAAAAAAATACACGTACCTACCACGAGAAACGTTGGTATCAAAATCTACAACAATAATTTAAAATTTTACCACGTTTCTACAATTGAGCGCTGGCTACACCAAAAGTTGTGTTGTACTGCTTGCACTGCGCTACACGCAAGTTGGTAGCACGGCAAAACTAACAGGGGAATCCCCTGATATTGTCATCGAACGAGCTAGTCGTAACAACCCGATCAAATAAAATAGGATTCTATCGACTATCAAACAATAAGAAAATGCTGTACATTTATGTTTGGCACAACATAAAAAAACTTTTAAAAGGACTTTAGATGTGGGCCATTCTTGAGAAAAGTTGTTTTGACATTGCTTCGAGTACTGTTTTTAGTTTTCTAACCTGACTTTGCGCTGTAAGCAAAAGCAACTCATACGATTATCTATTTTAAAACACAGTAGAAGAGTTTTTGTTTTTGTACGTAGTAAATGAAGTAAAGCATAAACGAAAATAATTTCACTTAAGGTAAGATATTTTACTAGTTATGTTTTGCATATTCACTTCAAATTATTTTTAGTAACTCTTAACATTTGCGGAGTCAAACTTTATAAACGCATATAAATAAAAACAAATACCTCAATCTCATTAATTTTCGTTCATTTAAGTTGTATAAAGAAAGTTACATTTCATGTACTTTAAAAAAAATTATTATTCTATGCAACATTTTTGATTATTTTAATGTCGTATTAAATTTGATTCCTTTTATAAAACTTTTGTAAGTTATTTAATACATATAAATAGCATTTGTCAAGTTATTTTTTTTTATTTATAACGTTGGATAAATAAATGTACAGTCGAGCCTTTCACATAGACTCCATTTGCTTCACATAAAACGAATGGCATGGTTGGTAGTGAGCCTGCCTGCGGCGTCTGAGGCCCCGGTCCGAATATCGGCGAGATAAACAATTAATTAAAAAAATATTTGTCTAACCATAGGTAACATGAGCAGCAGATCTAGAGATACCGGTCGACACTATGCTTCTGGAAGTGCTAAGCGTAAAGCAAAAGACGAAAAGGAAAAAAAGAACGAAGCTGTTTTCTCAAAAACACGTAAGCTGTTCGACTTTTTTAATGTTCAGAGTGATGTTGCTGAATCTACTGAAAATAAAGCAAAACATACAGAAGTTGCATCTCATTGTACATATAATAGTGGTACTACTACTGTTTCTAATGAAACTACATTTTCTACAAGTGATGCTGTAGCTGAAGAGACAGCAATTCCTTCTAATTTAGTTATATCATGCTCTAGCCAAAGAGAAGTTAAAAGCACAGCCAGTACTCTTGATCCAGAGCCGTCATGTTCAAGCCAAAAAGCAGTCGATGGTATATTATTGCATGATTTCACTACAGTTTCAAGTCTAAAACAAAACGAAAGTAAAATATACTCCAACGATATTGGTGAATGGCCGAGCAACTTCGATAGAGATTATTGGATTGCAAAAGGAAGCAGCGAACTGCAACATATGGATAGCGATTTTTTGTCTTCAAAGAAAATTTACGAAAAAGAAAATAAGCCACGATTCTGCCAAAAGTCCTTTTTCAGCTATAAACATAAACTAACGAATAAAACTCATGTCAGAGACTGGTTGTGTTATTCGGAAACCAAAGGACGACTTTTCTGTTTTGTTTGCAAAGTTACGAATTCAGATACTTCGTCACCACGGTTTACGAAAGATGGATTAGATGACTGGAAGAATGCGCACAATTTGTTGACAAGACATGAAGAAAGCACTCCACATAGACAAGCCATAATTTCGCTGGTAAATCTCAAAAACAAGAATACGCGTGTTGATTCTCAACTTGTGAGCCAAATTGAGACTGAGCAAAATTATTGGAGGCTACTCTTAAAACGAATCATTGCAGTAATAAAGTTTTTAGCAGAACGAGGTCTTGCGTTTCGGGGTAGTGACGAAATTGTTGGTTCCCCCCACAATGGCAATTATTTAGGCTTATTAGAATTAATAGCCCAATTTGACGCTTTTATGGCTCAACATATTCAAAGTTATGCTAATAAAGGAAAAGGACATACGTCATATTTATCAAAAACAACTTGTGAGGAATTTATTCATCTAATTGCATCAAGCATACTGGATCAAATAATTTGCGAAATTAAGAGATGCAAATACTACTCAGTTTCATTGGATTCTACTCCAGATATATCGCATGTAGACCAACTGACTCTGATAGTGCGCTATGTTCTACCATCTGGACCAGTGGAAAGATTCGTTAAGTTCTTAGACATGGAAGGTCATACTGCTGAACAACTCGCTCAAAGTTTATTAGATTTCTTAAGTGAGAGTGACATTGATATCAAAGATTGTCGTGGGCAAAGCTACGATAATGCCAGCAACATGAGTGGGAAATACTGCGGCTTACAAGCACGAATTAAGGAAATAAATAAATACGCAGAATATATTCCCTGTCTTGCACATTCCTTAAATTTGGTTGCTAAGTGCGCTGCAGACTGCTGTACAGAAGCATTACTTTTCTTCGATTTCGTTGAAAACCTCTACACGTTTTTTTCTGCTTCTACCTACCAATGGAGTCGTCTCACGAACGCTTTGAAAGATTCTACTTCAAAAATTCCGATTTTGAAAAGGTTATCGGACACTAGGTGGTCAGCCAGAGCTGATGCTACGAAGGCGCTTTTATGTGGTTTTATCACTATTAAGCAAGTTTTGGAAGACATTTTCAATAATGTAGATCAAAAAGCAGAGTGCCGTAATAAAGCTTACGGACTAGTTTCAACGATGAATAAGTTAGAAACGGGAATAATGACAATTATGTGGAACCGAATCCTAGAACGCTTGCAAGCGACTAGTGCTTCGCTGCAGTCGTCTGATCAAGACCTTAACACAGGATACGCCCTTTATGAAACAGTATATGCCTACGTACAAGCAATGCGATCTACATTTTCAGATGTTGAGGCAAAAGCCAAAGATCTGACCGACTGTGAAGAGTATCAGCAACAGACTTCAAGACGAAGCAAGCGGAATACAAAGTACGACCATTTCACCGGCTCTACTACACTCGACAACTTTGTTGAAAATCAAACACCTGGACAACGTTTTGAAATTCAGGTGTTTATTGTCATTATTGATAACGTACTGTCTGCTTTAACTAAACGTATGGAAGCATATCATGAAATTACTGGTGTTTTTGGAATATTTCGACAGCTAAAATCCCTTACAACAGAAGAGATTTTGGAAAACGCCTCACGTATGGTCAGTGCTTACGAAGATGATTTGGAAAGTAGCCTAGGCGACGAATTAGTGCAGTTCGCTGAACTGCTGAAAACAGATGTGGCTACTGTTATTGATAGCAAGAAACAAGAGTCTCTGGAACTGCAATTTTATAAACTTTTATTAAATAATTCCTTAGAATCGTGTTTCCCAAACGTAGAAATTGCCTTGCGCATTTACTTGTCTCTCATGATCACTAACTGCAGTGGCGAACGTTCTTTTTCAACGTTAAAACGTATTAAAAACGAGTTAAGAAACACGATGGGCCAAGAACGTCTTAATCACCTTACTTTGATGAATATAGAGTATAATTTGCTTAAAGAAGTCGATAGTGAAAGTGTTATCTCTAAATTTGCCCATATTAAATGCAGAAAAGTTTATTTGTAATAGTTTTGTTTTATTTAATACCCTTTAACTTGAGAAACTATAGCAAACGAAGGGCCTCTTGACAGAATTTGCTACAGGCCCCGCGCTGGCTTAATCCGGCACTGGCCAGGAGTATGTGGTGATTCCACTAAAAACCACTCCGACGGCCAGCCTTAGGCGCCCTGCTCTGGGGAGAACCCGGGCCATGTGATTTCGGGTCCCCCCAGATCGACGCAGCACCTAACTGGGCCTCATCTCAGGGAAAGCCAGTGGTTTCTACCTAATCAATTATTTCTTGGTCCAGTCATTGGTCATTCATGTGGCGTGATAATTTTGTTTCTAAATTTGTTTATAATATACTAGCCTTACAATTTTTTTAAGATTTCTCAAGTCAATTTAGTTACTCTAATAAATTTTATTACTTTATCGGTTTTATAAACATAAACAAATACACAAAATTACAAATTTCTAGTAGTACACATAGATGGACATGGGGCAACTATTAGGATTTCTTATTAGGACTATGTAATCTTGAAATGAGTTGACTTGACTATGAAATGTGAGATCATCCCTATGACCTTTAAACAATTAGAGAGATTACCTGGCGGTCGAATTTTGACTGGTTTGAATGTCTTTTTTTATTTCGTTAGCTTTAGCTTTATACCGTGGGAGAGCCATGATTCGGGGCGTCTCGACCAGAGACAAAAGACGGCTTTACAGAAAATCGGTGTTACGTAATTCATTCCTAGCTTTTTACTGAGTGAGTGAGGTTATCGGAAGCTCCACCAACCTTCTTCCTTGATTCTGGGAGGGGGAGCACACTTAGAAGTGGCAACCTGTGTCTCTTGAGTTGCAGGCGTTCATGAGCGGCGGTAGTTACTGGCTATATGTCTGCTCGTTTGCCCTATACAAAAAAAGGTTTATGTAGCCGTTTTTTAATAAATTGCAAAACTTTAATTTTTTCAAATTACACATTCCTGTCCAGAGTTAGGGGTTTTTCTACGTATAATACGTATGTATTTACAAAAAAAAAAGTAAATAAGTATTTTATCAGTCAATCTAGCTTTCATAACACAAGCTCTGCTTAGTTTAAAACTAGATGGCGTTGTGTGTAAGATGTCCGATTTTTTTTTATGGCGCACGGGCAAATCAGCAGATGTGTCACCTTATGGTAAGTGATTACCGCCGCCCATAGACACCTGTAACTTAAAAAGTCACAAGTGCGATGTTGCCTTTTGAGCCCATCCACTAAAATCGGGGAGACGGGAGATTTGGGCTCCGGTAATCTCAGTCACTTGGTGAAAGGCAGCGATAAAATTGCTTAGAAATGGTCGAGTTGGCTCATATGTGCCTAAGTATGGCTCTCTTTCTAAGCCAAGTGCTATACATTACTAAATAACTATCCTACAATATAAAGTCGACTGCACGGATGGCGTTGACTAGACCACTAGTTGAAGCGGTCACCTCGACACTTCCTACTATGCTAAGTGTTGTGGGTTCGATCCCTACATGGGATATTACTTTGTGTAATCTACAAATTGTTGTCTTGAGTCTGGGTGTTCTTTGTGTCCGTTTCATGTACGTTTGTAAAGTCCCCCGCGAAACAAGATTATATTCCCAGTAAGGGAGTCTTTTTAGATGAAAGAAAACTGCTTCTCATTTCTAAGTTTCGAAAACTTATTTGTAAATTGATTCATGATTTATTCCTTTGCCGTTATTTCTTTGATTTAGGAAACCTTACTTGTCTACGTTTGTAATTTAAGCACTCCCGGGCCGGTTCGAGTACACATAAACGGTATTACCTTTCAAAGTGGAATAAATATTTTTTATTCGGCGATAACATAAAAATACCACCTTTCTGTGGAAATAGGGCATAACAACGTAATGTGCCTACTCCAGCTGAGTGAATAGGGTTAGTGTAACACAGCTCCAATTTAGCGTGAAATCCTTTGTAAGTGTTTATGTACAGACATGGCTAACATTTACCCTAAGACGGATTGTGTACTTCTTTGCCACGTCGTTAGTAAATATACAAGGTGTAAGGGACATCGTACCGAATGTTGAAATAGTATATTCAGACCATGATTCTGAGTGGAGGAGTGTTGCTCTGAGTCTGGGTGTTCTTTGTATCCGTTTACATGTATGTTTGTAAAGTCCCTCGCGGAGTCCCTTATCTGTAATATATAAAATTATCGTGTGGAGGTGTTTGTTACCAAACTCCTCCGAAACGCCTGGACAGATTTTCATAAAATTTTGTGTGCACATCGGGTAGGTCTGAGAATCGGCCAACATCTACTTTCATACCCCTAAATGATAAGGGTGATCCACCCCTAAATATATTTTTTGGCAAATCAACGTTTGGCGGGTCAGCTAGTATCATTTATATGTCTTGATAGTGTTACATTACACAGAAAAATAAAAGGGTTGTCTTTATAAATCGTGTGTGCGTGCAAATCGACCATTGACAATAATAACACGGCTGACGGAAATGGACCTAGTTGCCAACTGTTGGACGCTATTTATTTCGACGTGTACCTAGATAATACATTAATGATATAAGGATGAATCCGTATAATGATAGTGGGACATACAAACATATACACATGTACACAGTACAGCTATCAGAGGGTAAATATATGGTAAATATATATATTTTTACAAATACAAAATCTTCTAGACCGTTCTTATCGTCCTCACCGAGATACGTCAGTGAATTAAGAAACGCTTGGCAAGTTCATGACGTCACTCCTAACGTCACAGCTTCATTTTGGCATAGTCTGGGTGCTGTCGATTTGCGCTCGAATACCAAAGACCCGTTTCTTTACACTAAGAACTCGAAAATAGATTTTATGAACTTTTGATGGTTTCTTTGGTTGTTCTCGTACAGCATAAAATAATTTGGTGATGCGTAATAAAATTCTGGGAGTAAAATAAGTATATTTAAGTAATAATAAAGTGAATAGTTATATTTAGGTACACTACTTATACACTCGGTTAGCATATAAGTAGATATTTTAGAGGCGTATTTTAAATAATTTTACATCCACATTGAAATATATCTCACACAACTCACACACGGCCGTCTGATGCCAAACTAGGCAGAGCCTGTGCTATGGTATCCAGACTAATGATAAACATACTGATATATTTTTAAATACATACATATTATAGATAAATTACACCCAGACACAGAACAAATGACCGTGCGTGTGTGTGATGTGTGATGACACAATGTTTGTCCTGGGTGGGAATCGAACCCACGACTTCCGGCTTAGCAGTCAGGGTTACTAACCGCTAGACTAACAGGCCCGTCATGATATGAACTAGCCTTGACTATTATCTGAAAAATATTTGTTTTTATTTGTTACGTAGCTGGATTCTGCTCTAACGCCATTAGATTTTAAAAAGTTTTAATGACGATATTAAAGTTACTTTTAATTTAAAAGTTTTCAAAGTATTATCTAATTTATACAGTGTGGCTTTGCGGTGGCGACGTAAGAATACCAGAAACCACCACCCCCATTCCCCCCAAGGGATTTTATTTATGGCATAGAGGCAAACTTGCAGACGTAAGTGACTACCACTGTTGAAGGACACCTGCAGTACAAGACGTGCAGGTGTGTAACTGCGTTTTGAGTAATTACAAGTAGACTTAAAATAGTTACTGTATAACGCCACGTACCAGGGTATGTTCTCGTTCTCGTACGAGGTAAGTAGAGAAGATTGAACGCCATTTGCTACGATCCTGACATACAGCTTGGGCCTCTTTCACATTCGTATAGATAGTTCAACTCAGTTGTGCGCGCGGCCCTATGTGTGCGTGGGCTTGTAAATATACAACTTTCATTCGTGTGACAGTGACGCGGCAGTCGGACGACGACTGCCACACGAATGAAAGTTGTATATTTACAAGCCCACGCACACATAGGGCCGCGCGCACAACTGAGTTGAACTATCTATACACGCAGCACGACTGCGCGGAGTGTTGTGGGTTCGATTCCCATATGAGACAACACTTTGTTGTTCTGAATCTAAGTGCTCTTTGTGTCCGTTACATGTATTTTTGTAAAGTCATTCAGTATAATCCTAGTGTGAGAGTTGTCTTATATATAAAAAAATAATATGTTTCCGATCTGGTTATTATATGCCTTTCGGGGCGCACTCATACTGTCAATTCCTCCTTCTTTTCTTTTTAGTCGTAAATTCAAAAAAGGAATTCCCAAAGGTTCTTCTTTATTCATCTCACGCTATTCTTTTTCCAAAACAATTGTTATCGGTGAATATATAATGTATATAGAAATGGAGTAAGGCACGTGGAGCATTGTTGGGTCTTGATCATAAACTCGGATTTACGACGGTCGGTGTAGGTATTCTCATTTTATTTCCGCATTCTGAAGTCAATTAGGAGGTTTTGATGTCGCCATGAATGCTGTGGTGGGCGGTAAAACTTTTACATAGGCTATAAGAAGTATGTGGGGATATGTATAAACCCAATACATATAGTTGTTGCATTGTTCAATATGTTAAAAGTATTGAATTAACAGGCCTGGCCTGCCGGAGGTCGTGAGTTCGATTCTCATTCAGAATAAAAAATTGTGTGATGAGCATGATTATTTGCTCTGTTCTGAGTGTAATTTATCTGTAATGTATATGTATTTAGAAATACCAAATAATAAGTAGGTATGTTAAAGAGCACTGTGGTTACATAGAACAGGCTCTGCCTAATTTGGAATCAGATGGTCATATGTGTGATGAAAACACCTTTCTTGCCTGAAACAAGAAAATCATCTTGTGTAGATTGTTAACTTTTCGATGTCTCACTAGATGGTGTTGTTAGTTTCAGTTAAATAACGATGTTAAAATTTGTTTATTCATATTCACTTTTTAACGGTTTTGATTTGACACGTTCATATATTAGAGATTTTATGTATAAATTTAGTATTTTGAATCGGCTTGTGTCCACTAATAACAAATTGCTCGGTTTATAGTTCCAAATTATAAATGAAGAGACATAGATAAGA